GAGTGTACTCCCTATGTTTAGCACTTCTTGAACTAGTGTTAAGTCTCAATTTTCATTGCAAAAATAACACCTTAGATAATCAGAATTAATGGTACCAGATTAATCATGATTTCAAGAGCCAAAGTGCTAAATAACTTGCTCAAATACTAGCAAACAAATAACCAAATAATAAATACTAACAATTATAGGAAGTTCAACCAAACCCAAGGTATAAACTTTAAAAACACATATTAAATATAAAATCCAGAACTTGTATATTAGCTAAACTTGGAATCAAATACAAAAGATAAAGAGTTGGAAAGGAATGTAACCCATGTCACTTGAGCTCATCACCTTGCCTTCTTCATCTCCATTTTCATCCTAATCTAGATAATGTACAAGAGTGGATGAACTAACTAGCTAAACTATACTACACTAATCTAATACTAAGAGAATGGAAAAACTACATTTCTGCACTTCCAAGCTTCTCCCGTATGCTCTGCATGTCCTGGTTGCTCCCTATATAAACTGCTCCAAAAGCTCCTTTTCCATTGGTCCAAATTTGCTGCATTTGATTTCCAAATCTGAAATTGTTAAGATAGTCAATAGCCATTGTTTTTGACTTGAAAATATGCCAACTTTCTTGCCCTTTTGTCTTCTAAAGCATGTGCACCGAATTCTCTTGCAGATTGTAGCTGGAAAGTAGTCAGAACACAAGAGAATTGACTGAGCAAAATTGCAGAATTGCGGCCGGAAAACGCGCCTACACAAAACGCGGTTACAAGTCACGTTTTGTGTACTCGCGTATTCACTTTGTCCTTACTTCAGCTGCGATTTTCTCTATCATAAAGGCTGAACTGGATTTTTTGTAAAACACCAAAGTTGTAGCCCTTTGAGTTAGCTTTCCAATGCTTCAAGAATCATCCAAATCTGAGCTTTGTAGCCTGAGATATGATCGAAATACTAAACACTGGTCAGAGCTCTGTTTTCCACTTTGGACAGCTGAGTTGAATTTCGGTATTTCAACTTTTGGACTATGAAAACGGCTGAACTGGACTTTGATGTCTTCATACCAAATGTAGATATATCTCTTAGCTTCAAAATGGTACCAAGATCACCTTGATCCGATCTGTGTAGCTCCAGATATAGTCAAAATACCAAAACGTGTCAGAGTTGTCAAAACCTGACTTTTCTTGATTCAAATTGCATTTTTCCTTTTTACACTTCATATTTTATTTTCACCACTTTAATCCATCTTCAATCATCCAAATATCTTCTCAATGCACTTCATTTGATGATTGAATCATTAAACCTACAAAATATGAAGTTTTTACCATAAAAATCCATAAAATGCAATGTTTAGCCATTTTAACATAAAATGTAGTTTTTTTACCAAAACCTTAGTTATTTTAGTTATTAAACTAAATAATCAAACCAAAATTAACTAATAAAACACACAAAAAATACGTAAAATAAACTCTTATCACCGCCAACGACAAATGACGATGTCTCCCTCCAATCAAAGCCCGACATGGACAAACAAGTGACTGCTTATACAGTTTGAATTATTTTGCCAAACTTGATAATTTTGATTATGACAATTCCAACTTCTACCAAGTTTATCTTAATTTCCAATTAGATACGTGCCAAATTGATTGCGTAAATGTTTGCACTTTTTCATACCAAAGCACAAGATTGAGATTTATAATCCCTAAGCATATCACAAAAGCAATCAAGTTTCATGTCTTTTCTTGATTTCCATTGAACCGAAATTGCTACAATAAGATTTTCATGTTCTTTTTCCTCTTTTTAAAGGTCAATATATATATTGAACCATTTTATAAATGCTTACATGAACAATAATCAACTCTTATATAATAATTTCCAATTAATATGGACTAATTTATATCTACTCTGAAATTGACTTGTTTCTGGAACATGATCTGTTAATGTTGATGGACCTTGGTCTTTGCCAGTGTAAGATTCTTCTTTCATGTTTACCCCTGTTGTTGTTGCTGCTGCTTTCCGTACTTGTACGGCCACAGGGGCTAACAAGACACCCTTTTGAATTAACAATTGACATTACTTAAATCCATCATGGCCTTGCAATATTATAAGCTCTAACACTTGCATAATAAAAAGATTTTTTTTGACTTGTTAACTAGTCTTAATATATTTTTCACTTTTCAACAAATGGAGACAAATCTAATATCTCCATTTACAAGAAAAATAATAATAATAATACAGAAGTAAAAGCTTTATCAACTTGTTTATGAGCTTTAGGAAAACTAGAAATGAATATTTTATAGTTCAACTCAACACCTAGTTCTCACATGTGAGTTGGAATGAACCAGCTCATTCACAAAGTTAATAAAAAAAAGAAGTCAAAGCCAATGCACAAAATCATTAAAAATGCCAAGCCTAATAAGCCAATCTCACAACAAGAATATGAACAAGTAGACACTTTGATATATAGCAAATGTAAACACTACGGTTATAGATATATAAAAGGTTAAAATTATCAATATAATTTTGGTCCGGTTTGTATTGCAATTTTTTTGAAGTTTTTGTAGAAAATGTACCGTAGCAATTTGATATATATATATTAGATAAAAATGTGACTGAAAAATGTATTCATAAAAAACGTAAAAAAAAAAAATTTTGGTAAAAAATGGCTTTCCAAACAAGGCAGTGAAGATTCGTTCACATATTGAACGAGAACATGAACAAATCAAAGCAAAGTGCTAAATATGCTAGGACAATAACGTCAACATGTATGAAATGTTTCTAAGTCATGTGTGAATATATGAAAATCCAAGGTTGTAAAATTAATTACACCCTATGTGCTTGTAAAGAATATGTCTTCAAGATCTTCGAATGCTATCTATGTCTCTTTCTAAGGGTCTACTAGGAGGAAACAGCATGTTTGGTTAATGTGCATTTCTTGAAGACAAAGGGGCACCCACAAGGTGGTTGAAGGGTGTTACATGCCATGTGAATTTCGTAGCAAGACACTGTCAATCGCCTTATCCCAAATACGACCTTAGGCCCGGGGAGTGCTGTCCATCGTCTTCGTCTGTCTCTGCAGCTTATTACTATCATGATCTCCTTTTTGTGATTTGACAAAAATTGATCTAATCAAAGATAAATCATATGTTTTTTTCATTTAAATCAATATTTTTTTATATTTTAATTGTCAAACTAGGAAATTGATGGAATTGCACATGATATGTACGATAAATTGATTAAATTGTGGATCGTGTCTAATAGTGTTTTTTTTTTTAATTTAGCGGTGGACGGATGAGATTTAAGAAGCAGGGAGGAGGAACGAGGATTAGAGTGACTAATAGTGGTTTTACTAAGTAGAGGAAGTAGTATTGAATCATTTGCACGCTTTTTTTCTCTTTTTTTTTTGGGTTAAATGGTTGCTTATTGCCATAGACTTGAGTTGATAATGTTTACGGCAAACATCTGTTTATATGTGCTGGCTATATTGTACCTAAACTTGTAGCAATTTATTGTAAAAGGAGGCTCTTATTTCTGCTTCAAAATCCATCTGTCTTTTGTATTCTTTTTCTTTCGGGCAAAACCATCATGGCCCTTTTTCTCAACTGAGTTCATTGAATTAAAACATCAAAACACAAATGACCTGATGATGTTGCATACTGATTCTTTGCACTCAGCAACATTTCCAAAACAAGGGGAAATGAAAATGTAAGAATCTAACAATTTGATATGCTGCTCCCTTAAAAGCACAAAACATGCACGTGAGGAGGTACATATACACAAGAACAAAGCTCCTACTTAGTACCTGGCAGCTTAAACTTTTAAATTTGATGTTTGGATAAAAAACAAAAAAGCCCCCTGTGATAAATTTAATATACAGAAAAGTCCCCCATAGTTTCAAAATATACAACACGACCTCTCATATTTTGAACTAAATTGTAAAGATGACGGAATCCGTTAAACTTAACGGAAATGGACGAAATGACAAAAATGCCCTGATATAATTAAGCAAAAGACAGCTCAAAAAAATCATTTATTTTATTTTCTAAATAGGGAGAATTGAGGGTTGAGGGGTAGAACAGGTATATTTGATAAAAATTAAGTATAAAATTTTTTTTTTAGATTCCAATAAGTCATTTCCGTTAAGTTTAATGGATTCTGTCACCTTTACAATTTAGTTCAAAGCATAAGGTGTCGTATTGTATATTTTGAAATCATATAAGGCTTTTCTGTGTATTAGACTTATCACAGGGGGTTTTTTTGTTTTTTTACCCTTGATGTTTTAATATGATAAACAAGGAACCTTTAAGAAAAGAGACAAACTATATGTATGTATATGTGTGTGTATGTGTCTATATATATATATATATATCAAGGAAGAGGTTTTTTTTTTTTTTACTTACAATATGATCCCTTCCATTTTGCAATTCTGGACACGTACTAATCATTTTCTTCATTAGTCTAAAGTAATTAAAAAGAAAGAGAAATACAGAAGCTTATAGTTCTAAATTAGCACTAGTACCCTTGAAAGGAAACAAGTCAACTTCATCACAAAGTAATCAGCCAAGTATTGTGATTTATAGCCACCACTGACTAGACTAGATCCAGACAAAAAGCTTTCCTTCACCCAGGCTTCTGAAAATTTTACTACCTAAAGTTTTTATGTACATTTGGAATCATTTTATTACAGGCTTTCTTCTTCTAATCCGAACATGGTGATTCCTAACATGTTTCTCAAACCCTCTTTGAATCAAATATACATCTTTAATTCTAGGCTAGTCATGTTCTCCCCGCCCCACCGCCCCAAAAAAAAAAAAAAAATTAAAGAACAATCATTTTTGAGATGCTCATGTAGTCCCTTTTTGGAAAATAAGTCATTTACATATATCATGCAAGGAAATTTCTTGCAAATTAAAGCTACCCCTAATATTGATGGTGACTTCTGTGACCCATGAGGGTCCTCATGTTGTAGAATGTGTACAAAGAATAAGAACCTACTAATTAATACTGCAACAGGCCTTAATGTAACTCTGCACATCAGTTCAAGTTGAAGTTGTCTGTCTACATTCTTCTATATATAGTCTATGCAGTTGCAGAACAGGATACATAAATTAAAGGGATCTATTCAACTTTAAAGTGCTTGAAGAATATCAAACTATGGCTGTTGCCCCAAAGAAGCATACTCTTCTCATGGCTTCTTTCTTGCTTTGCTTTCTCATAGTCACCGCTCAAGGTATAAATCCCATGTGTCCTTGTTATCTTCCTCTATTTGAAGGCAAAAGTAGTGTATTTGTAATAAAACTAAGAACTTGATTTTGCTCTTGCAGCAAGAAGCACGCCAAGGGAAAGTAGAGGAGTTGAGAAGGCAGATGAAAAAATGCTATCAACAACAAAAGAGGTGCCAACAAGTGAAGAATTGGAAATGATGGATTACAGTCCAGCTAGAAAGAAAACTCCAATTCATAACTAGCAAGAGTTGTGTGATGGAATCCATCAGATGAGTGCAGGCATATTATATCCTGTACTACTTAGTATGCAAGCTTATGCTTATAGATTCTGGCAGGTTAGAGGAAAGTCACAAAATTAGTTAGAAGAAAAGTAGAAGAGAAGAGATATATTTTGCATTAGGGTTTACAGATATGGTGAACTATGAAACTTTTCTTTGTGAAGAAGCTGACTGTATATGGCCTTACATCATTGTACATGAATTATGAGTGCTGTCAAAAGGGAGATTTCTGAAGTTTTTGGACACAACATGTTATTTATTTTAGATTTGTCATATCATGGAGTTTTTTTTTTTTTTTTCTATTTCTGGTCCACTTGAGTGGTGGTTCTTGATCTCCTTCTTCTTGAACCTCAAAAAAAGTAGTGAATTTTATAATCAAGCAGTATACATCAGACGGATATATTAGGTGATTATATATGTTAATTCTTGTGTCCCTTGCTCTATCAAATTAAGTTGAGGACAATGAATTGCCAGCTTCCTGGAAAGAATTCAGTTAGTTTATCTTTCATTCATATTTTGCAGATTTAATCAAGGTTCCAGATGGGGAGAGAGACTTTTTTTCTGATTAGGCATTGTAAAACAACTTGATTTTTTGGAAGATTAATATATATGGTCGTCTAGGAAATATGCCAATTTATGGAAGATTTGAAATTGGTGACAAGATAGCCAGAATTAAAATAAAGCTTTTTCTTTCATTTTTATCCTTAACTAATAGTGTGATTAAAGAATTCATCATTCGGGGATAAATTTGGATTGCTTAATTTTCTTTTACGACATTTATAGTGAAGGTACTTTTTCCAACTCTTCTACAAGTTCTAGAGATGGCATTAATGCTGAAATCAACTCTTATATTTGTAGAGAAAACCTATGTAGACAAATTTTTTAACTTGCTCCTAACTTTCTGCAGTTCATCAGGATGAATGTCATTAAGTATTTCTCTATGTCAAGCAATTCTCAGAGGTGGCATATTAATTAAACAGTGTAATTATGGTTACACGAGCAAGTTGAATTAGCACCTCAAAGAAAGTTTGGAACTCATTATACACCTTAATTATAATTGGCACAATCTTTCCTACACTAGAATACAATAGACTTTCCGTCAAATTGTAATTAAGATATATTTCAAGTGTTAGAATTTTGAAAAGATAAGATTAATTAGGAAAAGTACTGTATAAATATAAGAGAAGATAATAATTGTTAGTATGTGTATATACATGGCAGGTTAAATGAAGTTTATGTGTGTTAACGAGGCATAGGCACCCGTTAGAAAACTCTATTATAAATTGCAACACCTTTATTTATTTATTTTTTGGTACCCTAAATCTAGAAAGTGCAGTTCTAGATTAGCACAATTATGTTATATAGCCAAAAATACTTTGTTTCCATACTTGCAGCAAATGGTTGATATATAGTTGGCACTTTAATATATAAACTGATATAGTTTTATATGTTTCAGGTATTAATTACCAAAAAAAGGATATGATATTCAAACCAACATTTTACTGCCTATATATATATATATATATATATAGACACACACACATGTATATATAGAAACACACACATCCTTCCACTAGTTTTCAATTTTCTTGCCTGGTGGATATCATATTCCTGGGGCAGTGATAATTGGAATTTGGACATACCAAAGAAGTAGCTACCATCTTAGCTTCTGTCACAGTTTGGTGGCTCCCAAACTTATATTAATTTTTATAGCCAATTTGAACTAGACAACTAAAAAGTTGTTGTGGCTGCTTATGAATCTAACTAATTATTGATTTGCGCCAAATTTTTGAGGTCAAATTGGTAAGACAGAAAATTGAACTATAGACAGTATTAAATTAAAGAATAACCAAAAGTGCATATAATTATTAATTAGTTGCAGCATCTTTGTCTTAATTGTAAAGGACTATATCAGTAACCCGACCAAAGTCGACAGATAATGACCTTGATACTCAAATTGTCACAAATTGTCACAAATTGATAGTTGGGGTTTGATCCAAACAAGCACCATAATTGAATTGAGTAAACAATGAAAGAAGATTTGAAATGTTGAATTTTCTTGACTTGGACAAAAGACTCAATTCTCACATTCAAATTTCAACCTTAAGAAGTGATATTTTCCTTGTCCTTCTCATCCAACATATAAACGTAAAAACATGTGGTAGTTTGGACTTTGGAGGTTTTTAATGATTGATCTTGTTAATGTTTCTCAACCTTTCTTGACAATAATTACATGTCAAATGTTTCTTGGCAATGCAATATCGTTGACATCATTGACTTCTTTTTTTCCCTTGATTGGAAGAGTGGGAATGAATCGAAACAGTATGCTCCATATCTTAGATGTGTTAACACAAATTGATTCCAACATTGACAGGTGAGAGTACAGGACAACTTTCATCATCATGGCGTAGTCCTTTAGATTATTTTATCTTAATTTTGAATGACCTTTTTTTAAAATAAGAGGTTTTGAATCTAAAATATTTTTACTCTACGCAACTCGAAAAGTAGAATTTCAAATTTTAATAAAGTCGAGAGTTATGAATATAGGAGACAAATTCTCAAGTAGCGAAAAATCAATTAGATTGTTAGCATTGAAAAATCAATTAGATTTGGAGAATAAGTGGTCGAAACAGCAATATACGTATTCCCTAATTAATGATAAATTGCTTATATAGTGAGTTCTTTTTTTATATATAAAACGAAAGCCAGTTTATTTGATAAAGCAATCTGCACTAATGTCAGATAATACATAAAGTATGTCACAGATATATTTAATATGAAAAATCATTAGATTTAATAAAATTACAAAATATAAAAGATTACACTGTGAATTATCAGATTTGACCAATTGCAGGAGCTACTCCATAGATATTTGTACATGTCTATTCCCTTAAATCTATATATAAGATTTGAAAAAACTACTTAGATCTGAGAAAAAAATAACATAATTAAACAAAGCTCCCATTGAAATAGCTTAGAAGAGAAGAAAACACTAGAGACAAAACTCTCACTAGTATAGCTTAGAAAAGCTTTATGTTCACTTATATAGAGGAGAGGACCGATGGTAGAGAGAAAAGAAGCCTAAGCAGAGCTCACTTGTACGGCGAATGCTAATTGACTTCCTACATTGTTAGATTCGGCATTGTAGAATTCTAGACATAACTCTAAGGATTCTTGATTAGGTGAAAAAATCTATCTCTTTTGGCTTAAAACTTTGCTTGAACCTCAGATGAACCTGCATCTTTTTCCTTTTCTTCTTTATTAATTTGAACATCAATCAATCACTTCACAAACTGAATGAGGAGTATAATTCTTAAAGAAAGCAATTAAATCATAGCTTAATCCTGTCGTTCGGTGGGAAAGTTAGCGTTTCACTCCCTAATAGGATAATTTAAGGCCATCCATTTAGCATCTAATATTTAAGGGCCAACTTAATATAATATTACTAGTTTATTAAACCTAAGGCCCTGTTTGGAAGTGCAAGTTTTTAGCAAGTTTGTTTCATACAAGTTTTTTAACAACTTTTACTACAGGAACCCCAAAAAATTTCACAAAGTTTTTTACCTACACACCTCAAAATACCCAAAACACACAAAAAAAAATTCCCTCCCCTTTTTCTTCTACTTCCTCACCCACTCCAACCCACCACCACCTCCACCACCACCTCCGTCACCCACTCCAACACACCACCATCTCCTATCCCACCTCCCATTTTTCTTCTTCTTCCTCCGTCACCACCACCTTCGTCACCACCACCTCCGTCACCACCTCTTCCAGTGCCCAGCAAGAACAATTAGGCCCCCCATGAATGGAGGTAGCAGAAGTGGAAGGAACACCGCCGGCGACTTTGCCGGTGTCGCAGAAGTGGAAGGAACATTGGCACCGGCGGATGGAACCTCTGCAGTGGCTGGAATTGGAGAACTCGCCGGAATTGGAGAATTTTTTCCCTCTCCCCCTCTTCCTCCCCTGCCATCATCCTCTCGCCTTTTTTTTTTCTCTCTACGTCCGGCGCAGAGGGGGGTGGCGCAGAGAGGGGCGGCGAGGGGAGAGGGGGAAGGGGCAGAGGGGGACGGCGGAAGAGGGGAAGGAAGGGGAGAGAGAGGCGGCGGGTGGGGTGATGGGGAAGGGCAGAGGGGGGCTGCGGGGGGGGGAAGGCGGGGGAGAGAGAGCGGCGGGGGGAGAAGAGGAAGGGGGGGAGGGGAAGGGGCAGAGGGGCTGCGGGGGGAGGGGGAAGGCGGGAGAGGGAGGCGGCGAGGGGAGGGGAAGGGGGCAGGGAGGGGGACGGCGGGCAGAGGGGCGGCGGGGGAGAGAGGGAAGGCGGGGGGGAGGGGGAAGGGCGGGGGAGGGGGAAGGGGCAGAGGGGTGCTGGCGGGGAGGGGACGGCGGGGCAGAGGGGGGCGGCGCGGCGAGAGGGGAAGGCGGGGCAGAGGGGCGGCGAGAGGTGGAGTTGCAGCTGGGTGTAGCGGGGAAGAAGAAGAAGAAGAAGAAGAGAAAAAGAGAGGAAAGAAAAGAAAAAGAAAAGAAAGAAAAAGAAAAAGAAAAAGAAAGAGAAAAAAAAAAGAAAAGGAAAAAAAAAAGAAAAAGAAAAAGTTTTTCACCTTACAAAAACTTCTACAAAATTTTTCACCTTATAAAAATTTCTACAAAATTTTTTTAAAAACTTCTACAGTGCACTACAGTAAAGTTTTAGACAAACTTCCAAAAAACTCAGGTTCCAAACAGGCCATAAGTCTCAATCACCATACTCAGAATAATGAATTGAAAATTAACAAAAAGACACTAACAGTGCGTACACCATCACAGTTGAATGTCTGATATACATGCAAAATTTAATTTAAATGATGTGTCATACATTTAATAGTGAAAGTATATACACTATCATTATATAGAAAATTAATCCAAAATATACAACGGAAAAGTGAGAGAATCGTGTATAAGCCACCCAAGCTCTTTTCTCATATGCCAAACATAGCTTTTTGTTTTTCTTTTCTGGACAAAGACAGCTTTTATTGCTGCCATGTTTATAGTACAAATTGAAACAATAACCCTATGATGAAAGAAAACAAAATATACCCTCTATATTTGTATCTAGGTGGTAAAGATAAATTTCAAGGAAAAATGGTGTCGAAGAATCAACTCAAGAGTCCTCTCCTGTACAAAGTACTATGCTAAGTGAGATTAACATAAGAAATGCCATATCTTGCTTCTGTAAGAGCTGTCAAATGATCCCTTGTCAGCAATCATC